ATGACCCAGCAGCTTAACCACTAGGCTATGTCTGGTCCTACACTTGACACAAGTTGCTCAGTCTCATTTATGTTGAATGAACAGATATTTATTATTCAACTCTGCTCAATAAATACATAAAGATATGTTTGTTCAAGTTAAGGTATCTGGGATTCATACTTCAGACAACGCTGATAAGGATATATTTTTTTTTGACTTTGATGCTCTCACAATTATATACTACGTATGTGAAATTAAAACATTTCTTGATTGAATAAAATTACTTAACTCCATACATGCACAAGTTGCTGACATCAGACAATGAAAAGTGAAATAATTTATTGTTCAAAAGAACTACGTAAGTTTCATGAAATAAACTGACATACTACAAGTTCTACCTAAGTAAATACTCAAAAGATGTTGATTTGGCACTGTGAAAAATACCTGGCTATTTATTTAAGGTTATTTATTAGAAGAATACAATAACCACTTTACATAGTAAAAATTGTGAAGGAAACATTATATGAAATTATGAATCCAATAAACAAGAATGACAAATTAAAAGCCCAACTCTTGGTATGTATTTCTGCAAATTAGATAATACTTGATGATTATAAAACAAGTCTTGCACTAATTTCTTGAATTTTATGAAATATTTAAAACAATGGAATAAAATTATGTACAAAGAGATTACCAAGTGTCCTGTTTACACCCACTATCATCTTGCTTTAATCATAATATAAAATTTAAGGAAAACAAGGGGCCTGTTGGTCCATACAAGCTGTCCAATCCACTAAACTGATTAATTAAAAAACACACACACACACACACACAAAGCCAGCTCTTATCATACCTGAAGGCAACCCATTCACAAACCAACTACCCTGTTAGAAAAATAAAGTTGTATTAGTTGAAGATGACTCCTACCCTACCAAAATTTATATTTATGTCCTCCCTAGTCATACCCCTCATACCATTAATTACAAAAAAGAAGATACATTATTCCATTGACAATCTTAAACTTCTCAATCAGATCCCTCTAATTCTTTTTTTAATAGAAAAACAATTTCACAGATCTTAACCTGTCCTTGTATTACAATCTTTCCATTCTAATATTAATAACCCTCGTGTGAATTCTTTCCAACAATCAAACATACTTTCTAAGCTTAACATGTGTTTTTCAAAAAAATTCAAAATTAACACTAGTTTAAAAAAGCTAGTGTTGGACATATGTTGTACAATAGAGGTTTGATTTTTTTTATATATATATCAGTTTTCATTTATCTAATTGGATGCTGCAAATTAAACTTTAGGCTTAATACTTAGGTCTAAATCAATTTCTCAGTATATTACAGCCTAGTAATAGTAAAGTGATGATTATAAGCTAACATTAGTATCAACAAAATACTAATTCTAAGAATTCAAAGAAGAAAAAATTATTGCATCACCCAATTTTCTTCATATTTTTCTTGGTTCCTGTAACTTATGAGATTGTGCACTGTGGAAGTGTCAGAACTAGTGTAAAACATTGTATGGTGTAAGCTGAATCATATTTCAGTCATCCAAACACATACATGCATTTTTATTAACAAACTAGATGTAACAAATGTATTACAGCTGAGGACAAGAAATACTTCACAAATATGAAAATGTTCTCCGAGTGTGAAAGCATAAATTTAAAGGTAACACCACTAATGTAACTTATAAAAAAGTGGTCACAGAGTCCATATCTTGTTTTAATATTTAGTTGTCCTCCCTCTGGCCTTGATAACTGTTTGACATTGCCATGGCACAGAATGCATGAGGGATTGAATGTAGGCAGGGGTGAGTTCATGGTACCACATGTTGTTCCAAGGTGTTTCTTGGTTTCTCCTCTTGCACTTTGTTACCCATTACCTTCCAGAAGTTTTCGAAAGGGTTGAGATCTGGGCTGTTGCCTGTCCAGCATAGTGTCTTGATCTTCTCCCTTCGAAGATAGCTACAAAATCAAATCTAAAATGTCTTTTCAATACACACAGAGTGAAATTTCTTTTTTAATTCATATCTACTGTATAGAATGCATAAATATTACTAACTTTTTTAGCCCTGTGGCATGGAACAGTCATCTTGGAATGTGCACTGGTCAGCTCCACTAAACTGATCCTGAATTGTTGGCTTTAACCAAGACTCGAGGATCTTGATGAACTTGTCGACACTGACAGTGCCTTTCACAAAAAGCAGGAATCCCACACCCTTGCCAGAATTGCATCCCCATATCACCTGATCCTGCAGATACTTCACAGTTACACCAACAAAGAAACTCCTCCTCAATTACAAGATGAGGCTCACCTGAACCAAAGGGCATGCTGACTGGACTGAAGTAATGTGGAGCAAAGTGATCTTTTCAGACAAAGTTCAACCTGTACAGGTCTGATGGGAAGCACTTTGTATGATTTCAATGTGGAGGAGAGTTTCATTCAGTGTGTTTAAACCATCGTGGGAGACTAGCTGAACACACACACACATTGTAGCAGATAGGCTTCTAAACCAACTCTCAGTAAGAACCTCTATCTCATGATCAAAAAACAGTTAATGCAGCCTATAAGGTTGCTTATGTAATAATTATATAGTATTAAATCATCCATGAAGCACATTTGCACCTACATGCATTAGGGCCTCAAAACAGATGATAATTCCACCAATGTACATACAATTAAAACCTATTAAAATTTAAACAAATAATATACCAACCAGACTAAATATGCCATGTTATTCCTAGTATTGGTACTACAACTAGGTTACTAATAAATCTAAGATACCTAACAATAACAGTAACACTCAGTCTAACTTACTTTTTGTTAATTTTTTACTTTATAACTAATGTAATTATTACTTATTGGAAAGAGAAGGGCAAAGTTAATAACATAAGATAATCTTCAACTTAGAATCTATGTAAATGAAATCCAGTTGAGTAACTCAGCAACAGCTTTTAAAAGTTAAGTACATTATTTATGTCATATTTTTCAGGCTAAGCCTAAATCATATTATAATTTACTTATAGTATTACTGCTATTATTAGTGTATTACCTGATGTTTCTAACAGTATGAAAACTCAGTGACAGCAGGATGAACATGATTATCACATAATATCTTTACCTTGAAAAACAAGTCAGTTTTATCAGCATGTAGTTTTTATTTAACTACTACTAGAACTAATGTTAGCATCTTGCAAATACTGACAACAGTATCAAAGTAAGTTTGTATTTTTTGACATATGCATGTAGATTACAGGAACTAAACACATGTTCATCCTACATGCATAAAAGATAGTGTACACAGAAAAGCTTCATACAGCTAATAACTGCCTGTAGTTTAGCTGCATTTAATTTCAAAAGAAAATATTTAAATACATTCTCAGTCTTTACTCTCTGTGCCACCTGATGGTGCATGCTCTAAATTCTCCTTTATATATTTTTATCTTCCTATTTACGGGTTTCAAAGTGTCCATCAACTAGATACACAAACTACAAATACTGACAGGCCAAAATAAAAAATATCCCACCTTTTGTATTAACCGAGACGTCAATAAATTTATAGCACCTATTACAGAAGGCACACCAAACTCTTCATGGTTTGAAATCACTTGTTTACTCATGCCTACTTGTCAATGATACATATTTATAACTAACAGATTCTGATGATTGTATTTTTCTAGTGAAAACAACTACTTTGGAAGTAGATCTTGATAAGTGTGGACTAAAGTCAGTGCTCTGAAGAATAATAGAATTTTGTTTAACATATTTATAGCTTAGTTATAAAGCCAGATAAATTATAGTAGTTTTGGACATCCTATTATAGTGCCCAATATATTTTTTTTGGATGTTCTAAAATGCATATTTGAAAACTACACAAATTTTGGACAAAAAACGTTAGAAAAAGAAGGCTTAAAAAACAGACACCTTTGGGAAAATGCACATAGAGCTAAGATAAGAGCTAAATTTCTTTTTGTTATGCATACATTTATCCTATATATATATATATATCTAAGAAAAGTAACTAAAATTTAAAATATCAGGTTATAAAACAAAACTTAATTTAAAACACCAAGAAGTGCGTGATATACCCTAAACTCTCTGCACTCTTACTAGATGATTTATTACTTGTCACATTAGTTATACACAGTTCAAAGAGCAATGGAACAACAGAATTAAATGAAAGTAGATGTGAAATTGTTAGGAACATGAAACTTAGTAAGACAAATAAATGTAATTGTCTGTTACAATCTTCAGTCATTTTAGGTTCTGGTGCATATAATAAAGGCAGCTTTATAAACCACTTCACACTTCATAATAAGAGCTGAACATTATTCTCATTGTAAGAAAATTATACAAAATCAAATATATGACTAAATGACATGTAGAAACATACATAGCTTAACATTAAAAATAGTTTGCCACTGAAATTAAATGTTTATTTAAAGCAATCATAAACCTGTAATAAAGTTTTCTTAATAATGGAATTTTTCTTGCCTCAATAACATCATGAGATGTATTAGCATTTTTAGCAATTGTTTTTAGAAATATAAATTATTATAATTCTATATCAAGCAGTATAATTACAAAAATATGCTGACAGAAAAATTCATAATGTAAAAAGCAGATACAAATTAATTTCAAAAATCATTTGTAGTAAAAAATTCTAAGTTGCATTGAACTGCCTGAAAAGCTTTAAACATTCTTGGCAATATGTTCATTACAGATTGCACCAGAAAGATGGTTAAACTAATACCCTTGTTTAACATGTAGTTATGTCACATATATCATTTAATTAGATGTATCTTCAAAATACATGTACATTGCCCAGAGTATTAAGTCTACCATGGAAATTCCTACAAATTGTGGTCAAGATAAGAAGAAGAAGAAAAAAGTGCTCCTTTTATTTTATCAACTTCATCCTTAACATAGGTGCTGTTTACTTCAAAAAGAATTATAACCATTTGGAAGTACTTAAATACTTTATTATAATTAGAAAATAAAACTTGCATGGCTAAGGAATCGTCCTCTTGGCTTTAGCACTTGAAGAGCCATTGTCACAATTTTCTTTACAAACTTCCATAACTCTCCTGCAACATTAAATTTAATATTTTTGTTAACATGGTCTGCTTCTGCAGCAAGAAAGTTAATTAGCACAATGCACTACCATTTATTGTCAAAACTAGAAATTCTAAAAGAGAGTTTAGTTTTTAGATTTTTTTAAAGCAAGTGTTCAACCTTTGTGTAATATTAAATGATATAATGTGGAGTACACAATATATTGAAGAAAGTCTTCAATGTTCTCCATGGAAGTGGACAAAAAAACTTACAAAGCAGATCCTTTTCACAAAACAAAACTGGTCTCCATACCCACATCATAAGGCTTTCAGAAGCAACACCTTCAACTCAAAAAAGTCTTTCATTAAAGCTGACTATCTGCTAGGAGAATTAACAAGACAATAAAGAAGGATCTGAAGTTGATGAAAGCTCGTAAGTGAAAAGTTCATAAGACTTTTAGTCACACTTCAAAATCAACAGCATTTTTATGAGGAAGATGGCTGAAGAAACTGGAATCTCATTAACCCCAAAAGACCAAATAACTGTCAAGTCTCCCAATGTAATCCAACACTTCCGTGCCTTGGGTTTGTTGGAACAGTTTAGAAAGCTGATGACAGTGAATAATTTGTGGAAGGTTTTACAAGATGTATGTTTTAAAACTAACTTCATGATCCTTCACAGAAGTTTGCTATAACATAAATTTCAATGTAATCATGGCCATCAGATAAAGTATAACAGATGGTGGATGATGTATATGTAATTGTCAAAATAGCACAGATTGGTTTGTTTTGAATTTCGCACAAAGTTACACAAGGGTTACCTGCACTAGCTGTCCCTAATTTAACAGTAATAGGCTAGAGGGAATGCAGCTAGTCAACATTACCCACTCTTGGACTACTCTTTTACCAACTAATAGTGGGATTGACCATCACATTATTGCACCCCCCATGGCTGAAAGGGCTCATATGCTCAGTTACATTAATTCAAACTCGCAAGGTGAGCTCCCTAGCTACTAAGCCATGCCAGGCCTTAGAATAGCACAGAACCAGGAACATTGTTATTATGAAGTGTGTTTCACCTCAATAAATTTATTTCTTTTTCTGTAATGCAACTTGTAATATCCCTCAGGGATGAGAAGAAAAGCATTTTGACTCTAAGCAATAACTTCAGTCACAGAATTTTGAAATATGATTGTCTATATGCAAACGCTAGTGATGCACATTTAAAAAAAACAACCATTTATTATCAGGTTATTCACTTAATAAACTGAGTATGAAAAAAAATCAATCAGACTTTGAATAGAAATAAAAATAACTTCATTCATTCTGTAAAATTATGTAAACTCAGTTACTGCAAAAGGTCAAATGTTTTATGCAAGTTTTTAATATATACCTGTAAATAAAAGACGCAGAGTATCTTTTTTACTTCTTAAATTAAAAAAACATTCAGGAAATTATTTTTGAGCAACATCAACATTTCCATATTTAACTCTCTTACTATGAGCTTGGTCAATTTGACCTAAATCTAGACCACAAACTGATTTTTAGAGTTTACATACTATAACTTTTTACACGAAATTAACAATATTTTGCAAGCTTTCAGTAAGCAAAACAAGTCTTCTATAGACAAAAAATAATAATTTTTAATGAAATATTTTTACTAAACTTTCTTCATGAATAAATGGAGTCAAAGTGTTGACTGCTCCAAGTGCTAAGTGATTTTCATGTTAAGGTTAAAAATATTTTTCATCATCTGAAAATTGTCAAATTTCATTTTTGTGATCTCTAAAACCTCCTAAATAAATTTCAAACATTTGTTTCAACAACACTTTATATTTTATCTGTTACTTTAAATTCAGGTAAGCTCCTTTATGTGTTTCTCGTTGGAATAAAGTTTGAACTGAAAACAAAATAGACAATTCTCTGAACATACAATAATGTAATATAATACATCGTTTTATTGATTATAAATAATATAGTATTAACCCTCTCACCATGGGTATCCTTTAATGCTCATGACACAAGGTTTTAGTGTCTTACATTCAAAATTATATTAAATTACTTTTTGTTTATGTTATAGCAATTAGTATAGCATAAAATCTTAACTAATAATCCATATTTTAATAGTATATGAGTTTTAAGTTCTTAATTTTATAAGACAATATTTTTTAAAAATCCTGAATTTCCCCTAGTGTGACACACGACACATTTTCTCTAGGTATTTTCTCATCTCTATTTTATCCAAACCCTCCCTCAGAAACTATAAAAATAAATATAAATTACTCACTGTAAAATTGTCATTGCTCAGACAAACCATAATTTTTATAGCCTTCAATTTTGTTTGGTTACAGAGCCATCAAACAGAAAATCAGGTCCCTCCTGCCACTACCATCTGTTACATCCTCTCTTTTAGGATTTAATAGTTCTCTCTTACATTCAATTATATATTATCTACAACCAATAGAAAGCCAAGGTTTTCATCTATCAAATGACGTATTATGTTCTGAACAGAGAAGTGTCAATTTCACTTCTAATATAACTTTGGTTCCATGGGAATGGCTAGCTTGGATGGATTTGTAATGGCTCTTTTTGCATAGTTAGAAAGCCAGAAAAATTGTGATTGTTATAGGAAATCATTTGCTTTTTCCATGTTATTAGTCTATGTTCAGCTGCCATTAGTATAAAAAAAACAGGGTTAAGTGTCATCAATAGTCGATGGCAAAAAAAAAAGAATACTCAGCTAAGTACTTTATTTCTTGTTTTTCATGTTTATTCTTTATTTATTATTATAAATGTAACTAAAAATGTAAAAATAGAGATCTCTTTTGATTAGTTAAGGTTAGGTTAAGTAGAATAAACAATATCAATAATAATAATATAATAAAAATATTTCACGAGGCACGCACATGAGCAGCTCAGAGTAGTAATTTGATAATGTAACGTGAGATGCACATTCCCCAGGTGATTTACAACTTATAATGGCACAAATAGTAGTTAGACAGTTCAAAGGGCAATAAAACAATAAAATTTAATTATAAATAGATGTATACTGTTACAAGTTTAAAGCTACTTAGGATAAACAAATGTAGTTTCAAGCTACATTTGAAGTCATTCTAGAAAGAAAAGGAGGGCAATTTAGATTTATTTAGATTTTTTTTTTGGTGGTTATGAGGTCAGTCAAATTGACCAATCCCATATAGACATAGGGTAAAGAATATAACAAATAAAATTTGAGATTTTTGAGATGAAGAAAAGTATTTTTTATCTTTACATGAAAATCAGTTTGCACACAGACTATTTCAAACAAATGCTTGATATATTCAAGGACAAATTTTTTTTTAATTTATTAAAAATACTTCACTAAAAAATATGATTTTTTGTATGTGAAAGGCTTATAATGTTTACTGAAAGACTGCCAAATTTTGTAGAAGATATACACTCTATATCAAAAGTTAG